TTTATTTAACAAAATTAAGTGCTTATATAGAGGTGTGATTATAAAAATTCGACTATATAGAGGTCTGACTGTACTAATTAAAATTTATTATTATTAGCCGATCGATCAAGAAATCGAAGGTGCAAAAGAATATTTAAATTCATTAACAAATTTTTTTACTTTTATTGATGCATATATAAAGGCAAAAATTAATGTAATAGAAAGTAAAAGAGAGTGCACGCGTATTAAATTGCAGGTAGAAACATTAAAAATGAAAGAAAATCGACTTAAAAGTATGATTGAAAAGTTCGAAACCAACCAAGTTGACTATAACAAAATTGAACTATTTTTATTCGAACGTCTTATTAATATTAAGTGTTGGATGATGATATACATGGAAAATTATATTGGTGCTTACGAATATTGGTCTCTTTCTAAATCTGAACTGAATCTTTCAATTATTAAAATATTTTCCGAACACAGAAATGACATAGAAATGATTAACAGAGAACTTGAATCATCTTATCTTTCATTTCAAGATCAGCCACAACTTTTTAAGCGTTCAATTATAATTAATGAAGAAAAGTATATTGAAGAATTTAAACGTAATAGATGCATTACATATGAAATTTCTCTAGATCATAAGGAATTATCAATGATAGATCATGCTCTGCTTCGTGCATTTAGAGTATTTTTGGAGGGAATTGACTCAGCAGATAATGAAATTTCTCTTAAAATTAGTAACAATGGATTATATTCTAATAAAAAAGAAGGGAAAGACCTTTATTTTAGATCGAAAATTAGAAAACCTAAAGTATTTATGTATAAATCTTGTGACATTATAACAGCTGATCATACATTTGATGGAAGTAATATTTATTTTATACCAACGCCTTTCAGTCAATGGACAATTAAACTTATTAACAAAGACCTTGATTTGTCTAAGCTCGTGTCAATTAGAATTAAAATGGATATTGATGGTTTTTTTAGAGATAATAATGATTAGACTCAGGAAAATTGAATAGATATTTTATTATCAAGTTGGGTTTAATATGCCATAAAATATTTTATAATTTGTTATTTAATATTTACAAAATTTATTAAATTTTGCTAAATCAATTTTTTTAAATTATTTAATTGTTTGATAAATTCTTTGTTAAATTTTGTTAAGGATAGAGTATACTCTGAGTAGCTATAAAACTGGGAGAGCGGGTAATGAACTCAGATTTACTCCTAATGGCTATTGTTTTAAGAAAAATACCGTAGATTAATATCTCTTAAAAATACAAGTTTTTAGAACTTTGAGAGAGGATGTATTGACGGGCATCTAACCAAATTCAAATAAATCTTTTTTATTCAAATTTTAAGAATCTGTAGAATTCAATAAAAAATTATTATTGGATTTGGTTAGGTGCTTATTAAGATTCAGTCTGTATCAAATTCTCAAAACTTTAAATGATAATACTCAATAAGTATCTAACAAATTAGATGAATATTTTTTATTTTTATTTATTATTTATTTATTATTTTTTTTTTATATGATTCAATACTGGCTATATCTTTTTATTAGAAGTATTATTTTAAAATTACAATAGGAGTACATGTAACTTTTGGTCATCTAGTTAAGTAGTCTGCTCAATTGTTATACTAGAAGATATATCTATTATCAATTAGTAAAATTTTGAGTATAATAATATTTTTATAATTCTCAAAATTTACTAATTAATTCTAACTTTGTGCTCTAAATAAACTTGTTTAGCACTCAAATATATATATATATTTAGAATCAGACTAGTTTGCAAACTTCAGACCAAACCCAAACTAGAGTTTAAGTGTTATCTGAAGTTTGAAATTAATACATTTTAAAGTCTAGGTTTGGTTCAAAGCTAGACTAAGCCAAATCTAGAAGTACTAATTATAATATATATATTAGTTTATCTAGCCAAATTAGAAAAAATATACTATTAAATTTTTTAATTTTTAGTTACAATTCTAATCTCAGAACTAAAAATCTAACAAGGAGTATTATGTTATACTTAATAAAAAACTAAACTAAAATATAAAAAACTTCTTTAATAAAATACATATATATTTACAATATTTATTGCTTCAAATACTTGCTAAATACATCTCTAAATTTATTTATTCAAGCCTTTTAGCTATTACAAAATATAGTTGTATAAATTAGATCTCTTTATTAATATAAATAGTTATCAATACTTGCACTAAAGTATTTATATAGTTAGCTATATTATAATGAACTAACAATTTTGCTACAAGTTATTAAATATACAAAATTTTTTACAAGCTATTAAATAGTAATTTTTTTGTATAGTTTACCCTCAACTAAATCAACCTATTTGAATTGATTTAAATTTATATTAATAGTGATATTAACAAGAGATTATATTAAAAGTTGATATATATAAAGAGTTTTAATATATAAAAATTAGTAAAAATTCATATTATAGATTAGGTTAATATTAATGGAGTTGATATTAACAAGGATAGACTGTACCAAAATTATAATTAAAGAATAAGGTAATTGGTTGCATAATGCATTTATAGAAAGTACAACTTGTATTAATTAATAGTATTATATTAGAGAGATTATCTATTTTGTCTAATTAAGAAGCAATTTATAATTAGCCAAAAGAAACTTGAAAAGAAAATTAGTAAATAATTATTGCACAAATCTTATGTAGCAACCCATGCTTTTTTTATTTGGTTATTGTATGGAATTGTTATATCAAACACTGTGCAATAAAGTAGTTATTATATAGATATATGAATAATCTAATTATATATATAGATTTATATTTAAATCTTATACTTTTAGTATGGAATATAAATGCATGTATAACTGGGTTATTTATTCATATCTATACAATAACTATAATTTATTTATTAGCCTAAGTATATATTATCCTTTAAACTGTATTTGGGCAAATTTGCCTCAAATTTCTGATAACTAATAAATTTTTGTACTACAATTAAAATTATTAATTATATCTCCATATTGCTTGTATTTAGAGTTGTAAGGTTGTAATTTACATACTTACCTTACATGTAACTTACATGTAAATTACATCCAAATTTTGTAATATATAGTAAGTTATTATATATAATACAATAAATGAATTAATCAGATTAATATACACTAATATAATATATAATATATATGATATGATAAAAAATATAATATTTTAGAACTATTTGAGTGTAAAGCTTCTAAGCCTATCAAATAAAAAATCTTTTATTTAAATTAAATTATAAAAAAAGTAGCAAATTTAACTTTTATTTATAAAATTTATAGAGAGCTATTTTTCTAATAATGTTTTATTTAAATTATATTATATATTATTTAACTTACATACTTACATATAAGTTACATGTTTATAACTTACTTTACATTTAAAATTTATAAATTTCTGTAAATTTACAACCATACTTGTATTATATTGAAGATATATATACATGTAATACTTAAATTAATCTATGATATAATGTTGGTATAAATTTATAATACAATATTAGTATAAAATAATTATATATTAAAAGAAGTTTATTAAACTTCTTTAAATATATTTTTAATATGAATATGCATGTAATTTTTTTTTATTCTTTCACTCTAATTATGCATTATATTACTACAAATAATATTATTAATAGTAATGCTTCTGATAATAAATATATTATTAATGATGATGATTAAGCTTTCTCTGATTCTCGATATTTTGTTATTTTCAAGCATAACAAATATAATAAAACAATAATTAATCATATAATAGATAATGATAATATAGATGAATATTTATTTGTATTAAAAGAAGAACAAAATAGTATTACAAACTTTAAATATAAACCAAGTTCAGAGATAACTCATAAGCAAAATAAAAAAAATATAATAAGTGGAAGAAAAAAAAAATATTAGTAAAAGAACAAACAAAGACAAGAATATTGAATCAAAAAAAATATATACTCTTCCAAAATTGTCAATGTTTGAACTAATAGAAAATCTTAATGAACTTCATAAATGTTATATATACTATGTTACTATATGAAATAGAGCAAGACATTATTAGCCCACTTACATTGTTTTACCTTTTTTTTGCTAATCATTATTTACAAATAATCATTAATAATACCAATAATAATAAACAAAAAAAGAGTATAAAAAATAAAGGCAGTTGATTTTAAAAACCTTTGTTTTTAAAAAAATTAAAGATTTGGATTTCACTAGTAATTTATATGAGAATTTATAAAATTAATAGTATTGTAGATTTATGAAATTTGATAAACAAAAGGCTATTCACAATATTAAACAATTTATGATATTGTACAGATTTCAACAAATAAAATAGTTCCTTTATATTTCTGATCCACACAATTTAAATTTATTTTGGTATCCAAAGGTTGAGCTATTAGCTTCATATCTTTGAGACTCATTTAAAAAATATTATATACCTAATTCACAGGTTTCTATAGATAAAATGATAGTTTGCTTTTTTGAACAAAGTATGTCTGAAGGCTATAAAATCTATTCACTATGTATTACTGGATATATATACATATTTATGTTTAGTTTATGAGCTGAAGAAGATAAATACTTAGAAGTAATTACTAGTATAAATAAAGCTGGCTATACTATATAATAAAACTTTTTATATTTATATAGACAATTATTTTTCAAGTATTTTCCTGTTTAAACATTTGTATAAAAATAATATTAGGATATGTAAAACAATTAGAACCAATTTATCTAAATTTTCTAAAAAGTTAAAAACTAGTAATACTGATTTGTTAGATTAGAATACTTTTAGTGAAGTTGTTACAAATGATGTTTTAACTATAGGAGTTTGTTGGGCAAGATGTGTAGATAAAGCAGCTTGGATGGACAGGTTATCCAAAAGAGCTTCTCACTTAGAGGTATTAATAGTAGGTCTGCTAGTGTTATAGCCCTGGTCTCGATAGTACATATCTTGATGATAAGATGATGGTGATCGATTTGAATGATAGTTGGAATAAGGCGAGTAAGCTCTATTATTATTGCTTCTTCGATAACTGTCCCTGTCATGAGATCTACTTCTATTGCAACTCCTATCTTGATTATAGTTATCTCAACTGTAATTTTCCTGACTACGAGAATGAGGTTGTCAATTGTCTTAGTAGCTATTAGAAAAGTGAGTAGGTTGTTGATTCTGGTTTCTTTTTCAGATATTACAATTAGCAATAAAATGTCTAGTATGGCCACAATAATGGCAGGCAGGAGGCTGCTTGATTTTTTGTGCTGGCTAGAGTGCATCTGCATAGTTAACAGAGGCTGCAGTGACTGGTTGTTTAGCAGCAAGATTAATACTAAGTTGGGCAATCTGCTCAGTCAATTGCTTAATTGTCTGGTTTGTATCAGAGGTGGGTTTTGACATAACATGTCCTGTTTTCCATTGTTGTATAGCAGTGATAGCTTTATTTAAATTAGCAAGCTCTGCAGCTTGTACTAAAATTCTGTACTCAGACCAAAGACCTTGAATAAAGAGTTGGGTAATAAATATTGCAGAGAAAACTTCAGCAGGGTCTACTTTTTTCTTTAATTTCTGGAATTTGTCAACATAGGCATCTACAGTATCTGTGCCTTGCTTAATGTCAAAGAGTTGTTTTTGCTAGAGGGCTTTCTGTAAGCAGTGCTGAATCAGGTGAGGAAAAGGTGTTTGAAGCTTCGATCGGTATTAGCACCATTATCAAAAGCATTTGGGGCTGGGTCCAAAAACTGATACCAGTCTGCAGCAATGCCTTTCAAGTAAACTGCGCTAATGTCAATTTTCAGGTGGGTTCCCAATGGTTTGCTTTAGCTGCTCTTTCAAACTCAGTAATCCAAGTATATGGGTCTTGTGAACTATCTCTTTTATATGGTTCCACTGTAATTAGGGTTTGTTCACACCCATTTTTCAAGATAGTGGCAAGAGCATTCATAGCAGCAGCTGCTTCTGTAAGAGCTTGGTTGGCCAT